CTGCATCATTTGCTTCAATTGCCTTATTGATAAAATGAGGATACTAATACTAATAGTATGTAATGTTTTTAATAGTAATACATAATAAATGTCATGAAGTAGTAGCTAGTGGTAACACTAATACTAATAGCGTGTAATAAGAAGATGATTGGACCAAAATTCAGAAGATCTAGATTCCAAAACTAGTCCTATCATTAATTAGCTGTATAATCTGGGGAAAATTAATTAACCTTTTTCAGTCTTATCATCCTCCTCTGTACAATGAGGAGGTTGCCAAAAAAATTATCTTTAGGATTCCTCTTAGCTCTTACATTTTTATAATTCTAATGCTTCCTCCAATACTGAGGTCCTTCCACACCTAGTATGACTGTCCACCTGACCTCTTCACCTAAAATCTAAAATAGAATCCTCTCCCTAGAGCTGGAAGGGTCTTTATACATCACCTAGTCTAACTCCCTCATTTTAAAGATGAATAAACTGAGGCCAAAGAAGGTTAAATGATGTGCCAAGGTCACTTGTAAGTAGCAGGGTTGAGAGTCAAACTTAGGACTCCAATTTTCAATATACCATGATGTTTCTTGGATCCTATTTCCCAAGTCAGAGTTGGTGGTACCCAGCCTAGGTGGTAGTCCTTTGGTCCCACTCTGCCCACACAAATGAAAAAGAGACTTGGGATATGCCTGACAGAAGACCATCAAGGACCCAAGTCAATTCAGCAAGAATTCACTAAATGCTTTCTATGTGCCTGGAATCATGCTAAGCACTGGGGATACAAATGCAAAAATGAATCAGTCCTTACCCTGAAGGATTTTACACTCTACTGATCATACAAGACCACAACACCAGGAAATGCTCCAGGATACTGGAAGTCCTTCTTTAGCCCCATTTTCTTTCTACACAATGGTTGTAGAGGACAAGTGGTAGATTTGTTTGGGTGGGTTTAACTCATTCTGCTTTCCTACACTTTCCCAACATAACCACTTCCATCCCCCAGTCCTCAATTATTTGAACTCCTCCACTGAAACATGTTCTCCTGGTTTATAAGAAAGGGGAAAGGAACTTCAAAACTGGGAATTCAGAAGGGGATTTTCACACCCTACTTTTTTCATTGGCCAGGAGGGCTAAGGACCTTCTGATATGGGGGAATACTGGAGGTGAAAGCCATCACTGTTACCCAAGGCTCATAGCTTGGGTTAATTGACTTAGCATCACTAACCTTCCCATCTCCTTTAAGAATGTGTTTCATTAGTCATTGCTTCTCTCTCATCATCAGCTTCTCCCTGTCTACTGCTTCTTTCCCTGTTCACTACAAACATGTTCAGGTCTCCTTTACCCTTAAAAAAAATCAAACTTCCCTACCCTGCTATCCCCTCCAATTATCATATGATAATCCTTTGTGCCTCCCCCCCCCACCTCTGCTCATGTCAAACTTTTGGAAAGTCATCTACACAAGTTGCCTCCATTTTCTCACTACTAACTCATCCCTTTGCAAACTGGCTTCTGATCCCATTACTCTATTGAAATAGCTCTCTCTAAGGGCACCAATAACTTTTAAATTGTCAGATCTAGTGCTGTCTTCTCAGTTCTCATCCTCCTTTATCCTTATTGATACTGGTGACTAGCCCTTCTTCCTGAAGAGTCTCTCCTCCCTTGTACATTAGGCACTCTATCAAGTGGCTGGTAGAAGAGATGTGGTGGTTCCATTATACTATGCCCTGATCAGATAACAGCTGAAGTTTTCTTTTCACTCTAGGGACATTTTAGGAATGACTTTGATAGGCTGAACAATGTCCAGTGGAGGGCAAAGAGGATAGTAAAGGGCCTTGAGATCAACCCATATGAAAAGTGGTTGGAGGGACTGATGTTGTTTAGACTGAAGATGAGAAGACTTAGGAGGAAATGTCATTAATAATAACAACAACTAACTTTTATTTAGAACTTACTATTACCAAGCACTATGCTAAGAGCTTTACAATAATTATCTCATTTAATCCTCACAACAACAGTAGGTGATATTATTATCCCCATTTTGTAGTTAAGGAAACTGAGGCAAACAGATTCAGTGACTTGCCCAGGATCAAGAATTCAGGTGTTCTTAACTCCAAGTCCAGAGGTTTATCCACTTCGAGGTCATGTAGAAGAGAGATAAAATTTGTGCTCTTTGGTCCTAGAAGGTAGAAGTAGGAACAAAAAATGGATAGAAGCTTCAAAGAGACAAATTTAGACTTGATATAAAGGAAAATTCAGAGCAATCCAAAGTGGTAGGGGCTATTTTGGAAGATATGGGCTTCCCCATGTATCCAATCAGTTGTCAAAGTTCGATGTTTATACCTCCACATCTCTCACTCCTCTATTCTCATAGGGCCACCACCTTAGGGCCTAATCATATGGATTATTATAATGGCTTCTTAATTGGTTTCCCAGCCTAGTCTCTCCAGACTCCAATACATCCTTCACAAAGCTGCCAAAGTGATTTATCTTAAGCACAGATCTAACCTTCCCTTACTCAATGCATTCCAATGGTTCACTATTGCTTCTAGGTTAAGATATAATTTCCTTTGTTTGGATGCTAAAGCCAACTCACCCTCAACTTATCTTTCCAACTTCATTATATTTTACCTCTTTTCTCAAACTCTTCAGTCTAGAAAAACTAGATTCCCTCTGTTCTTCACTCCTAACACTCTATTTCCCCACCTCTTTGCCTATGCATTGGCCATTCCATGCCTGGAATGCACTGCCTACTGACCTCCACCTCATAGTATCTCTCACTTCTTTCAGGACCAAGTCTATCAGCATCCTCTACATGAAATTTTTCCTGATCTCTCAACTACCCTACAACTACTATACACACACACACACACACACACACACACACACGTGAAGGGGTGTACGTATGTGTAAACACATGTATACATATATTATGGATAGATACTTTTACACATGTATGCATGTATGTGCAGAACCTCCTGATGGAATGTAAGCTTCTTGGGAGCAGGGGTGTTTTCTTTTTCTTTTTTTTTGTATTCTCAATATCTAACAGTGACTGACATGTGGTAGGCACTTGATAAACACTTTTTGATTGATTCCTCCTGTTTGGAGGTCTTTGAGCAAAGACTGAATGAGCACTGGTTGGTTATGTTGTAAGTCTTTGTTTAAGTACTGGTTGGACTAGATGAACACTGAGGTTCCTTCCAACTCGGAGATTCTGCAACTCCTCTTAACTCTCATTCCTACCCATATAACAATTTTTTCAGTCTCTGATGGTTCATACTCTTCTAATCCCTCTCCACATTCTCCCTTTTGACAATAGCATCCACTTCTATGGCTTCAAGTATCACCTCTATGCAAATGCTTCTCAAATCTATGTACTGAGCTTTAAACTGTCCCTAACTCCAATCCCACAATAGCCTACAGGATATCGTCATTTAGATAGTCTCATCCCTCTCGCAACCTCAAATCCATCATATCCAAAATTGAATCTCTCCTCCTCCCCCTCTCAAACCTGTCTCTCTTGCTCTTTTGTGGGAAAGAGACGCTGTGGTTGGAGTTGGTGGGCACAAGGGGAGTTACCCAATAACAGATGTGGGTATCTGCAGAAGCAGCAGGGAGAGAGAGGTCGGGATTGCTTCAGGTGCCATTCTCTCCTGCAATCAGGAGGAGAACCTAGAAATCGGCTTAAAATGTTCTTCAGAGCGCTCTCAAGAGAAGGGAACGAGGCTCCTCTCTTGAGATAGAGGTCATTGGGACAGTGGCTGGGAAGGAGTTGGAGAGCGCTCACGTTAGTAGAAGGAAGAAGGAGCTGTCCCTTCTGTACTAGCTGTTCCCGTTCGACACCTGCCCCAGCCGGTGGATTTTGCCGAGGGAGGGGGCAGGGGCCGCGGGGAGAGAGTCGAGCAGTGGAGAGAGAAGAGACACAGAAACTATCCTCAACCTCGGACATTATAGCAGCCCCCGAAGCAGCCCTTTGCACCCCCCTTTCTGGCAAGTGGAGGGGCAGCGAGTAGGTCTTCAGACGCGGCTCCACCCATAAAAGCTTTTGGGCCACTGCAATAAAAGTTGTCCCCACCCTACCACTCTCCAAGAAGGAAGGTAAAGACAACAGAAGCTCTGTCTTCAGCCTTCCAGTCCAGGCTTCACCTTCCGAGGCAAAGCGTTATCCCCACTCAGGGGCTACCGGAATGAATAGGTGAGCAGATAATCCTTGGGATGGGGAGGGGGTAGATAAAAGAATAACTCCGTGTTCTAGGAGGTCAGCGAGAGGGTTGTAGTCTGGGAGGACTGGGGAAAAGACAATGCCTGAGAGGGCGGTGGCAGAGACGCAGCAGCCCGGGAGAGAAAATATCATAGTGAGGACAGTACGGATAGAAACAGTGGTAGGCGATGGAAATGGACAATACTCCTGTCCCGCGTAGAGAAAAAGAAGGCTCTGGAGACACACCCTTTTGGTGTGATGAGGGAGGAAGGAAGACCTGGTGATACTTCCATCTGGGATGACGAATGAAAAGTAGGGATGGGAAAATAAACCTTTCGAGGCAAGCGAAGAAACACCACGACGGGAATAGAGAGGTGGGAGGGGAGAAGAGATTTCTTTTTAAAAAATCCGAACTCTTCCCCACGTCCTCCTCAGGAGTTGGGCATCACTGGTCCATAGTAGAAAGGAAAAAGCGAGAGGCAGAAGACATACATACCCTAAGTGTGTCAGGGTTCCGAGAGCCCCTTTCCTCCACAGGTCACGGCCTCCAGAACACCTCAGGAGCCCGCAAAACTTTCCCGTGCACCCCTCTCTCGAAGTCTAAAATGGGATAATCTGCCCTCCCCAACCCATCTCCAGATCCATAGGTGATCCCCAGCACAAACAGAAGTAGAGAGCAGAGCTAAGGGAAGGGACATCTGGGGAGAGGAATTACGGGGACTAGAAAAGCCAGAGAAAATCTATTCAGAATGAGTTTGGAGAGTCTGTTTCCCAGAGTGCCAGACTCCTGATCCTTATCCTTTCCTAGGCTCAAACCGAACTTCACTGGGCCCTGGAGGACACCCTGGATCTCCTAAATTCACCAAGTTTATTATGGACACCACCTACCTGATCTCCCCCGCCAAAGGGGAGAACACCACCCTGCAGGCGACTGCAGGCAACCACAGTTTGGGAAAGCTGAGCTGGGAGGACCTGGAAGAACTGTTCTTCTTTTTCGCCAAGGAGCCTGTGGCCATCAGCCTCACAGCTCTCTACCTGCTTTCCTTTTCCGTGGGATTAGCAGGCAACACCGCGTCCTTATGGGTTCTGCTGTCTGGGGAGAAGCGCAGGGCCGGACGCTCTGGGACGGCTCCGGATGGTCCCAGTCCCACTCGCCGCCTGCTGGCCAACCTAGCAGTGTGTGACCTATTGGTGGTGTGCATCTGCATGCCCCTGACCGTGGGCAATGTGCTCTACAAGGCCTGGGTCTTCGGGGACTTCCTGTGCCGCGCTGCACCCTTCGTGCAAGCGCTAACAGTAGCCGCTAGCGCCCTGAGCCTCACTGCCATCAGCCTGCACCGTTACTACGGAGTCCGGCGGCCCCTCCGCGCTCGGGCCTCTTGTACCCGCGGCCGCGCCCTCGCCACAATTCTCTCTGTCTGGGCAGTGTCGGCGGCTATCTGCCTGCCCTTGGCCTTTGCCAACAGGCGGGATGAGATCGGGCTGGTGGAGGGGCTGCCGCTGGCCTTCCCTATTTGCCGTGAGGTGTGGCCTGGGGCGCGGCTGAAGCAGGCCTATAGTTGCCTCCTCTTCGGGTTGCTCTACTGCCTGCCAGTGTTCTTCAACCTGGGCTTGGGCTGGCTGACTGTGAGGAGACTCCAGGATCCACCAGGACCCTGGGCTCGACGTCCCAGGGAGGGTACAGGGCCCTGGCCATCGCCGCCGTCCCTGCCCGCTTCGCGGCTGAAGGTGAGGAGGGGAGTGGCTCACATGGTAATTGCCCTGGTCACTCTGTTCGCTGTCACCTGGCTGCCAGTCTACCTGCTGGACATCTGGATCGACTTCCACATGCCGGACTGGTCTACTACTGGGAAGCCTACTACAGTCTGGGTTCTGCAACTGAGGCCTTTCGCCCAATGGCTGGGCCTCACCAATTCCAGCCTCAATCCACTCTGTTACTGCTTCGTGGGAAGTCTGGCGCGAACCGCCCGCGAGGTGAGGCGCCGCTATCGCCAGAGGCTCAGCTCCCTGTTCCGACCCTCGATCTCCGAGGGAACTTCCTTGAGAGAAGGGGGTACCGAGGCAGAAGGCAAGGATGTGGCTCCCTCCCCCCGGGTTTCCCAGTAAGAGGCTGTTGGCTGAAGGAAGGACAAAGTTCCCTTTCGTCAGTTCCCCCCTCCTGGCAAATCCTTGGACTAGAAGAGGGAGCGAGACTGCTGATCTTGGAGAGTTCTCTTCTCTGCCTGAAGGTGCACTGGAGGAGAGTTGCTTTCAAGGTTATGGCCTCTCCACGACCTCCTACTGTGTCGACCAGTTCCTCTCCTTCAGCCACATTTCCATCTGGTAAATTTAGTCTGTGTCCAGGTCCATACTTGTCTCCTCCTTATCTAGCCAGAACTTCAAGGTAGTGTGACATTTAGTTGAAGGTGAGGCCTGATGGGTCCTGGGATTGAGAAAATATGGGAAAGATGTCTATAATACTTCCATTTTGGACAGAGTTGGAACCTCTTCCCACCCCATCCATGTTATCTCCACCCCTAGCTTGGCTGGTCCTCTGATCCTAGGACTTTCAGTCAGTTCCCAGAAAGGTTAAGATCCATAGAAAGGGACAAATGTGACATTGAAGTTGGGAGAGTAATCTTAGGCTCTTTATGCCCCCCCCAATAGAAATCTCTTATGAAGCCCCTGTCAGCCAGAGGATTTGGGAAAGCTAGGAGGGAGGATATGTCCCCTATAATCAACCCACCAAACGGATTGGAGACCTAGTGATCATAGAACAAAGATGCAGTCATTGATAAAAGATCCTTTGTGATCAAGGACTCTTCTCTGCTCAAGTACTGAACCTAGGAAAGTAAAGGCTGACAACCCTTTTGTCACTTTTATCACAGGAGTGGTCACTTTTATCCTCTAGGAGTGTGTGTTGAGGTGGGCGAAGGCAATGGCAGGGGACAGAATGAAAGAAAGTCTCAGAAAAGCTGGTGTGAAGCCCCTACATGTCTATTTATTAACACTTAACTGTAAACAAATCACTTCTCTGGGCCTCAGTTTCTTCATTTGTAAAAATTAGAATTCCTACCTCACAGGGTTGTTGCAGGGAGAATGCTTTTTAAAGTCTCTAGAGAAATATGAATCACCATTGTTAAGAACAAAACCCAAGGGGTCAGTTGTCCTTTAGGAACTGTCTGAGATGGGCAGGCTGTTCTTCGCAAGATGCCTGTTAATCTAGTCCCTAAATCATTGTCAAGTTGTAAAAAGTCCCATGGCAGCTCCAAGAACCTTTCAGGTTGATTTCAAAACCCTGCTGTCATATTAACATGAATCATAATTAGCAGTAGCCCAGAATACTAGTGCTGGAAAAGGCCTTAGAGATCATCTAGTCAAGAGGTTCTTAATCTTTTTTGTGTCATGGACCCCTTTGGTTATTTGGTGAAGCCTATAGACCCCTTCTCAGAATTTAAAAAAAAAAATCATAATTGAAGGAAATGCTGGATTTCAGTTCGATGTTAGTAAAAATAAAGGCGTAATTTTTTTTTCAATCTAAGTTCACAGACCCCTGGTTAAGACATTCTGATCTATTCAAATTTTTGCATTTTACAGAGGACATGGAGATCTAGGAAGGAGTAACTAACCTAAGGTCTCACAGCTAGTTAGTGGTGTATGTAAGGCTAGAGTCCAGTTCTCCTGATTTATAATCCAGGGCTCTTTCCATTATACTACCAGTCTTTCAAATTCAATTCAATTCCACAAGTATTTTTTGAATGGCTTCGCTAGGAGCTGGAGGAGGAGGAGGAGGAGGGAGAGAGCAGAGATACAAAAGCTCTATTATTCATCATTTTCATGTATAGCCAAATGCATTTGGGGCTCACCTAAGTCCAGACACTTTTAGAACAAAGACTCAAGGCTCTGCTATTTTCTTTCTTCCTTTTCCTTTCAGCTTTTTGCCTGTTCCTTCTACCACCATTACCTCCTCCTCTTCCCAATCCCCCTCCTCCTTCCCTCTTGCTCCTAGGAAATCTTGCCAGACTGTTTCCACACTCCTAACCCTTGGTCTCTGAGGGGGAAAAAAAAAAACACTAGTTGGAATCCCTTGTAATGTAATATACCATTCTTCACACATGAAGAGGTCACTCCATCCTAATCCCTTATCAAGAGGGGAGATAACTGAAATCTGAGCTATATTCATACTTCCTCATACATCACCATTTTGATCAGTGAAGCTTATTTGCAAATCTCCTGGTATATACCTGGGGAAAAACCTACTATGGATGGATAAATCGATAAATCTCCTTCAGAGAAGGTGTCCTCTATCCAGAACCAAGAGCAGGAGTTGGCAAAGTAAGCAGATTCCTAGGGGACAACATGTAGGGGAACACAATGAAGAAATGCTTCTGACCCACTTTTTATAATTCTATTTCTGCATAACAAGGAGGTATTTATTTTGCTGTTAGTCAAAGAGTAGGTGTTACATTAAAGGCTCAAAGCAAGGAGAACTCATTTTTAAATCTTGCCTAGGACGCACACATAGTTTACTTGTACAGGTCCTGCCCTTTCTCCTTCAACGCAAAAGTTGTTACACATACACACACTCACATACACACACTCACACACACACACACATTCAGTCTAGGAATCGGGAAAGAGTCCCCATGCTTTCAAATGCACCATCAGTTAACGTCTTAACTCGGGGAGGCTTCTTAGCAAGCTTCATGGACTGCTTTTGTGCAGCTGGCTGCCCATCCAGCCAAGTGACTCAGTGGGCCAGAGGAGAGAAGGCTGCGCTGGAAGTGCCAGCGTGAGAGTCCTTGACCACTCAGACACTCACCCCAACTTGCCAAAGTAGTTCGTTCGCCTACAGAGATTTCAACCTCTGTGATTCCCCGCAAATTGAGTCTCCCTGTTGTTATTTTCTCATTGCTTTTTCCTCTCTCTGCCTTCCACCTCCCTGCCCCGTCCTTTGTCCTCATTACCGCAGCTCAGTGGTGTGTGTTTGTGCGCGCACGTGTCTGTCAGCATTTAGCTGACACGAGTCTCACCATGAAAGGGAGCGGAGGGGTTAGCATTAAAACTACTTCTCTTCCCCACAGCGAATTAACCTGTCTCCCTCCACCATCCCATTCCCATCGCCAGCCCCATGTCTCCTACTAATGGGCATCATCTATGAGGAGAAAAGACACTACCTGAGGGAAGGCAAAGATGACTGAGTGTGTGCATGTGTGTGGTGGGGGGGGGGGAGAAGAAAAGGGGGGAGAGGGATATAAAAACCTTTGAGCAATGATCTTGTACCCATTTCATGCACCCATCACCAGCCCCACGTGTCCTACTATAACTGGCCACTACATCACCTATGAGGAGAAAAGATGCTAGCAGAGGGAAGGCAAGAGGACTGGGTGTGTGTGTGGCTGGGGTGGGGGTGGGAGTGGCCATAAAAACCCTTAAGCAATGATCTTGTACCCATTTCATGCAACTAGAGATGTCTCTGCCTCAGCCTGTTTGTATGTAGCTGGGTATAATGGAAAGAGTCTTGTAGGCTTAGAGAGAAACCTGAATTAAGGTTCCAAGACTAGCTGACTCCTGACACTTAGCTCTATGACCTCAGATGAGTCTCTCTTAGCTTCTCTGCATCTCTCTCTCATCTGTAAAAAGCAGAGCTAAGAATACTGGGCAGTTATGAGAAAGGAGCTTTGTAAACCTTAAAAACATTGCGTAAATGTGAACTGTAATTATTGTCATCAGTACTCCGCTCCCCAATGGGCCCCTCAAGAGAGAAGTTGCCGGGTGGGAGAGCGTAGACAGCAGTTAATGGTTTCCAGGACAACCTCCTCGCAGTCCTGCAGGGCTTCCAGCGTGCGTATCAATGGGCCACAATCATTAGCTGGCTGTGAGCTTTAGGGTAGTCCCGAGTGGGGGTGAGGGATGGAGAAGGGAAGTGAAGGAGACGGGACTCCGAGCTCTTGCGTCTCCAGAGCCAGGGTGGGAGCAGCCCATCAGATTCTTCCCCAAGATACCCTCCCCCACCACCACCACCATCATCTGAAGTCGGGGATCTGCTCACCTGCTCTTGTTGCTTCCCAGGCCTTCTCTGGTTTTGGAAAGTCGGTGTCAAAACTGGGGCAACAAGATACTACGGAGTGAAGAAGCGAAGAGAGTGCTGCCTTTGTAAGCCCAGGATCTGGGTCCAAAGCGACCTTAGAGATCTAGTCCAGCTCCTTCATTTTACATGTGAAGAAACTGAGGTTGAAAAAGGGGTTGCTTTGAACCCCAAAAAATTACAGAAGCAATGAGTGGAAGAGTAAGGACTGAAGAGTAGATTTACAGATGGAAGGACCTTCAAAGTCACTCAAGCCCCTTGTAGTGACTTGCCCAAGGCCTTATAGGTGGCAGAGCCCCGGCCTCCAGACTCCAAATTCAACACCATTTCACTCCCCTGCCTTGCCTCAGACTCTGTGACTCCCAGCCCTACTCCCGCTCTTTATGTAGCTGACCCCTGGCTTTGTTCCTACCTGTGGATGGGACCTTGGACTTCCCTTCTCAGGGTCTTCTTTCTTAGCTGTAAAATGAAGTAGTTGCACTAGGTGAGCTCTAAGGTCTCTTATAGCTCTACATCCTGTGACCCATTTGCACTCCTCATCTATGGTTACAGGATGCACAAAGTCAAGGGCAGGGTGTAGGGTATAGCAGAAAGAGCATTGTACTTCAGTCAGGCATCTTTTGTGTATATGGGGTAGGAAGGGAAGGAGGAGCAGAATCCCTCCTCCCTTGCCCCATCAAGGGAGATGTGCTGCTGGGAAAGACAAAGAAAAAAGGGGACTAGCCCACCTTTTATTCCTTCCTTCTCTATTCTAACCCTCATAAGGAGAAAGCTGACATCCCATTGGAATTCCCCATTCTCTTCAGAGGCCTCTCTATTCTCCCTGTCCTCCAACACTCTTAAATTTCACGACTTTCTTTCTTGGCCTATCCTTCTTTCTACTCCCCTGAAATCTCCTCCTTCCCCATCCACTAGAAGTTATCCTTTCTTTTTCTTTCCCTTCTGTTTCTCCATCCTTTCCTCCTTTTATAAAGCCCTATGTTAATCCTCTTTCTCTTCCTCCATCCTTGTCTCCCTCCTCTCCATTCTTTTCTCCTAG